TTTTTGTTTTTCTACTTCTTAATTTTTAGATCTCTAGAATTTGAGTTAGGATCTTTAATACAACAAATTTATAATATTATTTTTGTACTTTTTACTAAGTATTCTGTTTGGTTACTCTATAATCTATTTTATGTATAACATAATTTTATATTCACTTATAACCTATATCGTAATTTTAAATTGGGACCTTGTTAATTTATTTTTTTCTTTTAACTATGTATTTTATTGTTACCAATTCTGTTAATTTTTATTTTATTCTTTAACTATATAAATTCTATTGCTTATTATTTAAAGTTAACTCTTTCACACTTCACACAAAGACACATAGACAAATGATTATGTATTTACAGTGCACTTTTACTTTTCCTCACTGTCTCCTACAGTGGCACACGCGTTTTCCCTGCTACCCGGACCCACTCAGATAACTGAAAATGGGTGACGTTATCCGGTAGAGTGGTACTATTTCTCCGACTATCGCTTAGTCAGTAATATTCTGGCTATCCCTTAGCCTGGCTATCGCTTAGCCTCTCAATACCTAATACAACACAAGTTCACGGAGCACGCCGACTATCGCTTAGTCGCTAATACTCCCACTTAACGTGCGTACTTTAATGTTCTGAATTTATGGCTTCCACAGACTATGTCAAACGCCTTGACCAATCTGTCCCTTTACCAATCGGCCACAAAATAGTTTAAACACAGAACAGTTCAAATACAGAATAGTTCAAACATTAATTAATACTTAAACCATGCATTCACATATACATCCATACCATAGATTGATACATACCTTGGACCTTTCCCCAGTTTAGTCTGCCTTTTGTATATTCTTATATAAGTACTTATTAAATTTGGAAAATACTTATTAAATTTGGAATACTAGTGTCATGATGGGTTTACTGAGAGGCCCAAGATGCAGAACACAATGGACTCAGGGGAAAGGTTAACAAGTTTATTGTTACACAAGCACGTAGTAAATGTACAGTTTGCTGGTTCAGGCCTGGGGACTGGTTCACTGGAGTCTGTGAGGGAGACAGTTCAGTTAGCGTTGGCTTGGTTGGAATTGATCTTGAGAGTTTCTGGTTTGTACCTTGAGATGCGTAGAAGAGACTTTGGGAGAGGAACTGTTGGGTCCGGAGATGGTTTGGTTCAGCAGAGTCCGATAACTGTTTCAGCGTCTTACTTCTAGTGAGGGTGTTGACCTTGGTTTGAGTTTCCAGCTCTAAATCCAGAGCTGCTTGGAAATCCAGAAGAGAGTCTTCAGGTTTGGCTCAGAGGGCAGGCTCGGCAGGTTAAGCTCTTCCAGAGCTTCACAGGAGAAAAGCAGGTAACCTGGAAGCAGAGACGAAAGGTTAGAATCCAAACTGGACTCAGAGAGAGCAAAGTTCTCAGGAGGTTCTAGGCTTAGGTGCTAACCAAACTGATTAAACACTGCGGCGTCGAGGCAAGGTCTGAAGACAGCTTAAATACTGTGGTCCTCCTGATGAGATGATCAGTCACAGGTGTGCAGGCAGCTCAGCTCAGGAGGATCCACGGCGGACTGTGCTGGAGGAAGATGGAACTTCTCCAGCTCCCAACAGTACCCCCCCCCCCCCTCAACGACCGCCTCTTGGCGGTGCGGAAGAGGTAGATGGGAGGGAGCGCTCATACTCCTCGAACAGGGAAGAGTCGAGGATGTAGGAACCAGGAACCCACTGGCGGTCCTCCGGACCGTAGCCCTCCCAATCGACGAGGTACTGCCAGCCGCGACCTCGCCGACGGGAGTCCACGATCCGGCGGACGGTGAAGGCAGGATGTCCATCGACTTCCAGGGCGGGTGGAGGGGAGTCGGATGGAGGTCAAAGAGGACTCGAGATGACAGTTTTTACTTGGGAGACGTGGAACGTGGGATGGATGCGTAGGGTCGGAGGAAGTTGCAAACGTATGGCAGATGGATTGATTACCTGGACAATCTTGTATGGACCGATGAACTTGGGCGAGAGTTTAAGTGACATTCCCTTGAGGGGAATGTCCCGTGTGGACAGCCATACTTCCTGTCCGACCGAGTACTCAGGGGCAGGACGTCTCTTGGTGTCGGCGAATCTTTTGGTCGTCTCAGAGGAACGGTTGAGAGAGGTGATGGTATCCCTCCAGATGCGCTGGCAACGGCGGATGTGCTGATTGACGGATTGGACTGATATCTCTCTCTCGTCTGCGGGGAAAAGAGGAGGTTGATAGCCGAGACTGACCTGAAAAGGCGATTGACCGGTGGAAGCTGATTTGAGAGAGTTATGAGAGAGAATATGGACCACCTTGATTGACGAGGATTGGCTTGTTTTGCGGACTGGATGTAGGCGAGATTCTTGTGATCTGTCCATACAAGAACTGGGTGCTCAGCTCCCTCCAGCCAGTGTCTCCTTTCCTCCAAGGCTAATTTGATGGCCAAGAGCTCTCTGTCTCCAACGTCGTAGTTCTGCTCTGCGGGAGAAAGTCTACGGGAGAAGAATGCACATGGATGAATTCGTTGATCCGTGTCGAGTCTTTGGGATAGGACCGCCCCCACGCCTGAATCTGAAGCGTCAACCTCCAGGATGAATTGTTTGGACAGATCGGGTTGGATCAGCACTGGAGCTCTGGAAAACAATGTTTTAAGTTTATCAAATGCAGATTGAGCCTCGGGGGTCCATTGGAAGGTTCTTTTGGATGATGTTAAGGAGGTTAGTGGGAGAGCGGTTTGGCTGTAGTTTCTGATAAATCGTCGGTAGAAATTAGCAAAACCTAAAAATCTCTGCAGTTGTTTACGGTTCTCTGGGACCGGCCACTCCAAAACTGCTTTTATTTTCTCTTCTGAAGGCTTAACCTGCCCGCCATCGAGCACAAACCCCAAAAAAGTTACTGAAGACTGATGAAACTCACATTTCTCGGCTTTGACGAAAAGTTTGTTTTCCAGCAGTCTCTGAAGAACCAGGCGGACATGTCTCTTATGCTCTGAAAGATCCTTGGAATAGATTAGAATGTCAGGTAACGCTTTATATTAAGGTCCTTGTAATAAGCATTAGTTAATAGGTAATAAGATCTTAATAAGTACCTACTAGATGCTTATTAACATTATTATGTGTTTATAAGACTATATATGCATTAATAGACTCATTATGATGTTGTTAATAGCAGACTATAACATATTAATAATAGCTTATAAGAAACTTGTTAAGATCTTTATAAGTGTGTGCAAGATGCTTATTAACATTGTTATGTGTTTATAAGACGATATATGAATTAATAGTATCATTATAATATTGTTAATAGCAGACTATAAGACATTTATGATAACTCATAAGAAACCTGTTAAACATTGTTGAAGCTTAAGTATATTATTTAAAAAAAAAATCATACTCAGTATCTTATAAATTTTGAATAACATTACAAACACCAATATTGACACAACAAACCCAACGATGTCTTTGTCTTCCTGTTAGTAATCTTTTTTGGTTTTATTTATTAACATTATTATATACTTTATTGCTCATCTATTAGAAATTAACTATGCACTTGTTAACCTTTAACTGCGCTTTTTGCAGGTACTGGATCTAAAGCAAGAACAATGTCTTATTAAGGCCGATAAATCTTTTATTGAGCACTCTTATGCCTTTAATAACATATACTTTTGTAGTGATTTATCAAAATGTACTTTACTATGCCCTTATTACAAGTTAGTTATACACTTGTCAACAGCTAACTATGCTTTTTGCAGCTACCGGATCTAAAGTGAGAACAATGCCTTATTAAGTCTAATAAATCTTCTGTTGAGCATTTATTAATGGCTTATGATTTTCACAAGTTTCACATCTGGAACAAACAATAACTGCAGGCAAAGTGGATGGAAAGAAAACAAAATTTCTTAACACAACAAATGTTTCAATAGCAAAGCCCAAAAAGGTTTTATTTCTGTGGCTTTCACAAACACATTTTCGTAGAAACGTACCCCATATAAGAACAATAAAAACAATAAATAAATAAATAAAAAATATACAACTGGCTTTTTTTTTTTTTTTTTTTAACAGGAGACTTTATCACTTTGAATATTGGGAAATATTATTTAAAACATTAGTTAACATGGAAAAGTAGAGTTTCGCAAAGTGCAAAACTAACTTTTACCCATCAAACTTTGCAAAATGAAAATCACCTAAAACAGGTGTTTCAACATTTAAGAAGTGCAACAAAAAACTGAGGTAGATTTTTTTTAAATGCCACTAAACATTTAACGTTTTCATTTCACAAAGCGATCTAAAATTCAAAAGTCCCCCTTTCCAAAAGGCAACAGTTTCCCTGATTTTTTAAGTGCTTTAACTCTACTGTCAATATCTGCATCATCACGGATGGCATCTACACATTTCCCAGCAAAATCACCAAGCTTGTGCTTTTTTGTATGTTGTTCTTTGAACTCTGCAAACTTTTCAGGGCAGCGATGGAAAGCTCTGCAATTGGTGCATTCAGGGCAATTGTGTTGCGATCAACTCCTACTATTTTGCAAGCAGCAGTGATGCTCTTCTTCCTCTTGTAGGCCTTCAACACTTTACGGTAACGTGCAATTACCTCATCTGGCCCACGTGCTGATGGTGAAGAAGAAAGGGTAGATATTAGTCTCTGTGTTATAAGAATCTTCCATTCAATAACCGTAATCCATTTATAAGGCTACTACACAACCCAACAGCTTTCAGTGGGCATAGCCTAAAGTTGGTACCTTAACCTGCAAGTTCACTCATCTTCATTAAAATGGAATACATCAAATCATACACCAAAAATAGCCAGTATCTATCTTTTAAATGTTAGTTTTTTTTTACATGAATAAAATTACCTCTTGCAATACTACTCCGTTTGTTTCGTCTCTCCCTTGCTCCTTTCTTCCCCTTCTTCTTCTTTCTCTTCTTCCTATCATCAGAAGTAGAGGAGCTTAAGGAGTCTGAGGAAGGGTCGGTCGAGAATGAATCTGAGCTCGAGTTGGAGGATCCAGAACAGTCACCATGTGATGCAAATGCTTCAGGGGATGGGTCATCATTGTTCATGTTTCTTGATGCTGTATGAAGACAATACAATGAAATATTGACCACGATTGATAGGAGATGGGTTCAGTTACAACTGTTTTGAAATAGATTGCGTAATAGATACTGAACTGTTATAGGATTGTGTTTCTGTTGTTTAGGACATCAAGTATGGAAGACTATAACATTAAAAATAAATACAGAAATAAATGCATGCTCCATAAATACATCAGCATAAAATAGATGTATAAAAATATAGCTAAAAAATAAATGTAAGAAATATTTTAAATTATATAAAGAGACATGAATGTAAATATTTCTTATCACCTCATTTATTTATTTCTCATTATTGTCAAATTTATTTAATAACTAGTTAGTTTTTAAATGCATTTATTTGTCTGTTAATTTTTAAATATATTACAGAGAAACGAATGCTTTTGAGAACTAAGCAATTAACAAATGAAGTTTACAGTTTTAATGAGAAACAATTAAAGGAGGTGGTTATTAAAAATAATAAATAATCTAATTGTAAGACATAGTTACATACATGTCTCATTACATAATTTAATTAGTACTTTATTGTATTTTGTGCATTTATTGTTTTCGTATACATTTGTTTTTAATTATATCATAGTCCTCCATAATCAAGGGCTTGATTCAGGTTTATGTGTGTAAAAACAAGTGCAAATTATATTTAGTTAAGAAAAACAAAACACCATGATTAGTGTAACAAAAAAATATATATATAATACTCAACATAATAGTGAACACCACTGACTTACTCCGAGCAAGATGGTCTTTTAGAAAGTCTCTCTCCTTGGTTAGCTGTTTGATCATTTCTTCCTGACAAGCTATTTTCATTTTAGCAAGCTCCAGCTCATGTGTGTGCTTCTGGAGTTTGGCAGTGGGGGCCATTTGGGGAGCACCTGACAGAAACACAAATTCAAACTTAATACTAATCATGGATAATGCTTCCCAAGAGGGGTGTATACAGGGACAGTTTAAAACACAGATAAAAACCACATCAAACAAATTACATAAAGTTAAAGAGGAATCAAAGGCCTGTACAATTAAAATAATGATAACCCACTTAATTCTATTTTTCATGTGGTATTCTTTGTTAACAAAAAACAAAACATAATCAGACAAGTGTCCCTGTTTATTGGCATATCAGAAGACAAAATAAGTTATTAAGTTACCAGTTGCATAAACTAAAGTATTTTTAAAAAAAAACAGTTTAATTTAAGTAAGTGCCACATTTAGCCATAGGTGTTTGTAACAAAAAAAGTTTAGGGAATAGGTTGCTTATGCAAGTCTAATTGACTTCACCCTCACTAAAACACAGAGGAGTAAAACACGTCTGGTGACGTGTTTTTTTTTTTTTTTTTTTTTAAGAAGTTAAGTAGTAGGCGCGTATTAGCCACGTGTGGCTACTACTTAACTTCGTCTTCTGTCCATGTCACCAGACGGGCTCCGTAGTGGAGCGACCAAAAAAAAAAATAGTTAGCAGCAGTTGAACTTACCAGAAGAGTCATTCTCCAAATCACAGCAGCCCCGCTTGTCACCATTATTTTTTCGATGCCCAGCGCGAGTTTGTACATTTCTCTGGGGCGTAGACGTTGTGGCCACTCCTTCCATTATATGCGCGAGATCAATAATGGCTTGGAAAGCCATTATTGATCTCGCGCATATAATAAACTCTTTACTCCATCCAGACAGTGTCTTGCCCACGACCAAAATCTAATAAATTAGCAAAGATTCCCAAAGGAGTAAATCATGATAATCTAATTAAAATCAAAATAACTCAAATTGGGGAAAAAGTTAAAACAATTAAATGCGGTCTGTTTAACATAAGATCGCTTTCCTCTAAAAGTCTACTAGTTAATGACTTGATTTGTGATAATCACATTGACTTGTTTTGCCTTACAGAAACCTGGCTGCAGCAAGAGGATTATGTGAGCATAAATGAGGCAACTCCTTCAAGCTATTTAAATTTTCACATCCCCAGAAGTTCTGGGCGAGGAGGAGGAGTAGCAACAATCTTCCAGTCTGACTTACTGATTACTCCCAAAACAGTTAATACCTACAACTCTTTTGAACATTTAACCCTTAATTTCCCTGATCCAAATTTCAAGGCAAGAAAACCTCTTCTTTTTGTAACTTTGTATCGTCCACCAGGTCCTTACTCTGAATTTTTAGATGAGTTTTCAGAGTTCCTTTCTGATTTGGTATTAAATACTGACAGGGTCATCATAGTGGGAGATTTTAACATCCATGCTGACATTGAAGGCGATAGCTTAAGAGCAGCCTTTAATGCTATCTTAGACACTATTGGCTTTGTTCAAAATGTGAATAGTCCCACGCATTCTCATCTTCATACTTTGGATCTTGTGCTGACATACGGCATAGAATGTGAAGAAATAACAGTATTTCCTCACAACCCTGTCCTCTCTGACCACTTTCTAATAACCTTCAGGATTACTTTAACAGAGTTCTCCTCCCCCAAAAGAAGGTTCAATTTTAGTAGATCTTTATCAGATAGTGCAGTTATAAATTTTAAAGAATCTGCTTCACTTTCTCTCTCCTCTGTGTCACTGAGCAGTGCTGCAGAGTGCAAAAGTTTAGCTTATTCCCCTTCACAGGTTGATGATTTTGTTGATGGGGTTGCTAGTTCTCTGCGTATTGCCTTAGACAACGCAGCTCCTTTGAAAATGAAAACCGTTAAAAATAGAAAGCTTGCTCCTTGGTTTAATGCAGAGCTGCGTACTTTGAAGCAAAATGCTAGGAAACTGGAGAGAAAATATCGCTCCACAGGCCTGCGAGAGTCCTTCCTAGTCTGGAAAAATGGTTTACTGCTGTATAAGAGGACCCTTTGTAAAGCAAGAGCAGCATACTTCTCCTCATTAATAGAGGAGAATAAGAATAATCCTAGATTTCTTTTTAATACAGTTGCCAAACTCACCCAGAGCCATAGCTCTGTTGAACCGTCCATTCCACCTGCTCTTAGCAGCAATGACTTTATGGGATTCTTTATAAATAAGATTGATCTTATTAAAAATAAGATCATAAGCACTCCTCTATCCGCGATTGTACCTGAGGTAGTCATGGAATCTGAACTGGGTTTAGACTGCTTTGATCCAGTTGAACTCTCTGAATTAGCAAAATTATTGTCTTCATCTAAGCCTTCAACTTGTATGTTAGATCCAGTTCCAACCAGGTTATTTAAGGAGGTATTCCCTTTGATCTCCTCCTCCATTTTAGATGTGATTAATCTATCTCTGTTACAGGGATATGTACCTAAAGCTTTTAAGGTTGCTGTAATTAAACCTCTGCTTAAGAAACCGTCTCTTGACCCAGATGACTTGGTCAATTATAGACCTATATCCAATCTTCCTTTCTTATCCAAAATTCTTGAGAAAGTAGTTGCCAAACAAGTTTGCGATCACTTCCACCATAATGAACTTTTTGAAGAGTTTCAGTCTGGCTTTAGAGCTCATCATAGCACTGAAACAGCTCTGGTGAAAGTCACTAATGATATTCTCATGGCCTCAGATAATGGACTTGTATCTGTGCTCGTCCTGTTGGATCTTAGTGCTGCATTTGATACAGTTGACCATAATATTCTTTTAGAAAGACTTGAATATTTTGTTGGAATTAAAGGAACAGCACTAGACTGGTTTAAATCTTATCTATCTGATCGAATTCAGTTTGTTCATGTTAATGATAGATCTTCAACACGCTCAAAGGTTACCTGTGGAGTACCACAGGGATCAGTGCTAGGACCAATTCTCTTTACTTTATACATGCTCCCAATTGGTAGAATTATTAGACAGCATGGGATTAATTTCCACTGTTATGCTGATGATACCCAGCTATATCTGTCTATAAATCCAGATGAAGCTAACCCATTACATAGATTACAGGCATGTCTTGAAGACATAAAAACCTGGATGACTCTTAACTTTCTGCTTCTGAATGCAGACAAAACAGAAGTTATAGTCTTTGGACCAGAGTCTCTGAAAAAGAAACTGATTAGCCAGTCACTTCATTTGGATGGGATTAAACTGATTTCAGATAATAAAGTAAAAAATCTTGGTGTTGTTTTTGATCAGGACCTGTCATTTAAATCCCACATCAAAGAGGTTTCTAGAATTTCCTTCTTTCATCTGAGGAACATTGCAAAAATTAGAAATATCCTGTCCAGGGGTGATGCTGAGAAACTAGTCCATGCATTTGTTACTTCAAGGCTGGACTATTGTAATTCTTTACTATCAGGAAGTCCACAAACTGTAGTTAAAAGCCTTCAGCTGATCCAAAATGCTGCAGCCAGAGTTCTAATGAAAATTAAAAAGAGAGATCATATCTCGCCTGTCCTGGCTTCTCTTCATTGGCTTCCTGTTAAATCAAGAATAGAATTTAAAATCCTCCTTCTCACATATAAAGCCTTAAATGGCCAAGCTCCATCTTATATCAGAGATCTGATTGTTCCTTATGTTCCTAACAGAGCACTTCGCTCTCAATCTGCAGGTTTACTAGTGGTTCCTAGAATTTCTAAAAGTAGAATGGGAGGCAGATCTTTTAGTTATCAGGCTCCTCTCCTGTGGAACCAACTACCAGTTTTAGTCCGTGAGGCAGACACCCTGTCTACTTTTAAGGCTAGGCTTAAAACTTTCCTTTTTGATAAAGCTTATAGTTAGAGTGGCTCAGGTTATCCTGAGCTATCTCTATAGTTATGCTGCTATAGGCTTAGACTTTTGGAGGACATAGGGACCCCCATTTCATCATTCTGCTTCATTCTCTCTCTGTTCTCCTATTCTGCAGAATCTGTTAGTTCAATCTCTAACCTTCTGCTCTCTCTGCTTTTCCTCAGAGTAGCTTTGCCTCGTCTGTTCCTGTTTGGCTGTGACGTCATCCTGGAAAGAAACATCAGCTGTGCTGCTTCTATCAACACCCTTGTTTATAGATGTTGGAGATCGGCCTGTTTTCCAGTGTGGTCCTGTTTCTCTGACCGTGACTGAGTGGATGTGCTTTCTTCGTCCTCTGGCATGGGAGCTGCCTTGGAGCTCGTCTGCCTGGCTGTGTGTTTCCTGGACGGGGCCGCCTTTTACAGCTGCTTTTTGTATCTCTGCTTCTGTCTCCTTGAACCCCAGTCGGCCTCGGCAGATGGCCGCTCACACTGAGCCTGGTTCTGCTGGAGGTTTCTTCCTGTTAAAAGGGAGTTTTTCCTCTCCACTGTCGCTACAAGCATGCTTAGTGTGGGGGATTGTATTTGAGTCAATGAGTCAATGCAATCAACTGGTTTTCCTTAGATAGAAAACTTTGTATCAATTTGATCTGGTTGAACTGTAAAGTGCCTTGAGATGACATGTGTTGTGAATTTGGCGCTATATAAATAAACTGAATTGAATTGAATTGAAAGACCCAAACAGGAAGTGTCGGTTTCACGGTCTGCCTTCAAAATAAAAGCTTGTGAGCAGCGCACGAAGAAAAGAGCCCCGGATGTAGAAAAGCGCTAAAAGAAGCGGCCCGCGAAAAGCAAAGGAAGAGGAGAAAAAAAGAAGTGACTTTGCCACAATGACACTGCAAAACAAAATGAGAAAGCTTATTTTTGAAGGTAGTTCATCCAGGAAAACTTTAAAGCTAATTAAATTTCTTCAGAAAAAAAAACTCCTGAGCAAAAAAATCAAATGCCGTATTTGTCAAAAGAACATGAAGATGACAAGGAGGAGGAGCAGCGACCATTACAGCTGGTAATAACTTTTTCCTTGGGGCAATGTCAGTTAGAGCTATTTACTAAGCATGTTTGTCCTTATTTATGCGTTATTTAGAAGCCGTTTGAAGGGATGTCAAATGTATTTGTTAGATGGATCTCAAACCAACCTATTTCACAGGTCTGCCTGTGTAGGGCACAAAATTAAATACCAAATGTTAGTAAATGACCAGTACATTTCTTTCACTAATCAGCCTAAAAACCATAGTCATCTGCTGAGTGCCTTGTAAAATTTAAATCACTTTCTAAATGAATGTAAAGTTAACAATAATAGATGCATCGTAATTATGTTTTCTACATATCAATAACATGTTTACGTTTTGTGTTTTTCTTTACCAAATATGAAGTGCTTTTCTAAAAATTTAACTCTTACTTTTGTTAAGGACTTGCCAGCGGGCAGTACACCGAGGGACCAAGACAGTGAAATCAATTAGGGACAAATCTCTTTTTAGCAAATCCAGACTTTCGTTGTTTCAGTGGATGCAGTTCATTTATAGGTACAACATTTTAAAGTGCTGGATAATTACTTTGGAAACACTTTTTTAAGAAAATGCAAAACTCTTGATGTGTTATATTTTCTATAGATTTGCAGAGGGCCTGCGTCTCAGACAGGTGGATATGATGGAGGACAGTATTGCTGCAAGTACTGCAACCCTCTCAAAAATGGCAAAAAAACTGAGGAAGGTCTGTAGAAGGGCTGTTGAGCGAATGAGAGAACGACACGGACAACTCATTGGTGGACGGCATGAATTTGTCGTAATTGATGAGAGTCTCTTCCGCCATAAGAGAAAGGTGTGTAGAGCTGTATTAATGGGCTAGCTATAAATAGTTTGTGATGGTGAGTGAGTGATTGGTAAAAGTTAAAACACCATGTTAATTAGTGGCGTTGACAGAATTTTCATTAAAATGTGTTTCTGGTTAATTGTGACATAAAGTTTTCAGCATACCCTTTCAGATACTTTTGTGTCTGCAGGTTTTTTTAAGTGTTTAAATATTAATTTGTTAAGAAAAAAGTGGAAAATAAACTTTTAAACGCCCATGAATCGTTTCAATGCTTTGCCAACATGATCATATTTTGCATAACCTCTAACTGTATTGTCGTAAAGACAAAGATACAAGATGCTTATTAGGACTGCTTAGGTTAGTGACACAGCACCGCTCCACCTTTCTTTGCTGTCTATGTTGAAAGAAGCTACTCACTTTGCTGTTTATCTCTGTCTCTTGGCGCACTAAATTGTTCCATCTTTTGGAAATACTGCGTAAGTTACCCACCAAGTAATATATCTAATATATATTTTTTATAAACACAATAATAGTTGATAGAGCTGTTTCTGTTCCTTTTTTTTACTTTGATTCTTGTTCATCATCACAACAGTATGGCAGAGGAAGAATGGGTGGCACCTGGCAAAGACGGAAATGGGTCTTCGGTATGCTTGGAGTGCAGAGGCAAAGGGGCAAGAGAGGAAAGCCAGTACTGCGTCTTGTTGAGAGAAGAAAAAGACAAGATCTTGTCCCCCTGATTGCACATCATGTGAGGATAGGATCAGATATAATTAGTGATGAATGGCGTGCTTATCATTCCCTCCCTGAACTTGGCTATAATCACATGACTGTTAATCATGCAAGGTGGTATGTAGATCCCCAAACATGTGCCCATACACAGCACATAGAACGAGCGTGGCGGAGTATTAAGGAACAGGTTTGGAGGCAAAGAGGTAACCAAACTGAACACTTACTGTCTGACCATCTTTGTCTCATTGAGTGGACTGAATGGCTAGGCAGGAAACACAAAGATGGGCCTCTTGGTCGGCTACTAGAGGATATAGCTAAGAGGTACAGGGTAGGCTAAAATGAAGGTTAAGTAGTGGGAGTGGATCATACTGTCAACTGTCTAGGTAATGACAGTAAGGTTCTGATGCTTGAAGAAATCAGGGAAACTTGGCTGTTAGAAAGTGGGACATTTGAATTCCTTTTGTGCACATTTTGTCCAAATTGCACATGTTTTAATAGTGTTTTGTAAAATGTATAGTGGAATAAAAAAAAAAAAAGAAAGATACCACAGTTTTATGTTGCACTTGTGTTATATTTTGTATTAAGAGGGTGTACTTTTTTAAAACACCTGTTTTAGGTGATTTATTTTTTTGGATTCTAAAAATAAATGTTTCACTTTGCAAAACTGTACTTTTCCATGCAGATGTTTTACATAATATGCCCCAATACCCAAAGTTAGAAAGTATCAATTTAAAACATAAAAAAGCCAGTTGTAGGTGATTTTAAAAAAAGATATATATTTTTTTCTTTTGCTTTCTTTGTGTTTGTGAAAGCCACAGATATAAATAAAACCTTTTTGGGCTTTGCTGTTGAAACATTTGTTGTGTTAAGCAATTTTGTTTCCTTTCCATCCACTTTGCCTGCAGTTATTGTTTGTTCCAGATGTGAAACTTGTGAAAATCATAAGCCATTAATAAATGCTCAACAGAAGATTTATTAGACTTAATAAGGCATTGTTCTCACTTTAGATCCGGTAGCTGCAAAAAGCATAGTTAGCTGTTGACAAGTGTATAACTAACTTGTAATAAGGGCATAGTAAAGTACATTTTGATAAATCACGACAAAAATATATGTTATTAAAGGCATAAGAGTGCTCAATAAAAGATTTATCAGCCTTAATAAGACATTGTTCTTGCTTTAGATCCGGTACATGCAAAAAGCGCAGTTAAAGGTTAACAAGTGCATAGTTAATTTCTAATAGATGAGCAATAAAGTATATAATAATGTTAATAAATAAAACCAAAAAAGATTACTAACGGGAAGACAAAGACATGGTTGGGTTTGTTGAGTCAATATTGGTGTTCGTAATGTTATAAAAAATGTATAAGATACTGGGGATGATTTTTTTTTAAATAATATACTTAAGCTTCAACAATGTTTAACAGGTTTCTTATGAGTTATCATAAATGTCTTATAGTCTGCTATTAACAATATTATAATGATACTATTAATTCATATACCGTCTTATAAACACATAACAATGTTAATAAGCATCTTGCACACACTTATGAAGATCTTAACAAGTTTCTTATAAGCTATTATTAATATGTTATAGTCTGCTATTAACAACATCATAATGAGTCTATTAATGCATATATAGTCTTATAAACACATAATAATGTTAATAAGCATCTAGTAGGTACTTGTTAAGATCTTCTTACCTATTAACTAATGCTTATTACAAGGACCTTAATATAAAGCGTTATCGAATGTCATCTATGTAGACAAACACGAACACATTTAGGAAGTCTCTGAGAACATCATTCACTAAGGCCTGAAAGCATGCAGGGGCATTAGTTAGTCCAAAGGGCATCACCAAGTATTCAAACTGGCCCAAGGGAGTCTTAAATGCTGTTTTCCACTCATCCACCTCTCGTATTCTGAGGAGGTGATAGGCATTCCTCAGATCTAGCTTGGTGAAAATGGTAGCCTCTTGGACAGGTTCAAAAGCAGAAGCGAGCAATGGGAGAGGGTACTTATTTTTGATTGTTATCTGTTTCAAGCCTCTATAATCGATACAGGGTCTTAGTGAACCATCCTTCTTTCCAACGAAAAAGAAGCCTGCGCCCAAAGGAGACGAAGAGGGGCGAATTATTCCAGCGGCTAGGGACTCGTTTATGTATTTCTCCATGGTTTCTCTTTCTGGTTTGGAGATGTTGTAAAGTCTACTGCTGGGCAGCGGGGCTCCGGGTAATAGCTCGGTAGCACAGTCGTATGGCCTGTGTGGTGGAAGGGACGTAGCACTGACCTTACTAAAGACAGGAGCCAGATCATGATAGTCGGGAGGTACTGAAGAAAGGTCAGGGACGTCCATCTCCCCCCCACCTCTTCGGACGGAGGCATGTTTCATGACATCGAGTGGACCAGGACTCCACATGACGATCAGTCCAATCTATATGGGGATTATGTTTCTCCAGCCATTCGAAACCCAGCACCAGAGGGGAACATGCGGAGGGAAAAACAAAGAAAGTTATGGTTTCTCGATGATTACCTGAGATCAGAAGCTCAAGGGGTTGGGTTTGATGGGTTACTTGGTGAAGTCTCTTCCCATCGATAGCTGAGACACTAAGTGGCTGAGTTAAAGGAACTGTTTCAATTTGCAGCTGTTGGACAAGATTGGAATCAATTAAATTTCGCTCACAACCAGAATCAATGAAAGCAGAGAATGAGAGGCTCTGGTCCGAGAAAAATAAAGTGGCTGGAAGCATAAGGCGAGGAGATTTTTCAGAGTTATCATGGCCCGCCAGACTCCTCAGAACCTCTGACGGGCCCCGACTTTTGATTTCGCTGGGCATGAAGCGATGAAATGACCACTCTCACCGCAATAGATGCAAAGTTTGCCCAAAAATCGTCTTTGCCTTTCTTCAGGGGTCAGCCTAGTGTGTCCAACCTGCATGGGTTCGATCTCCGTTTCTCCAATATGTGTAGCCTGAACAGGCAAAGGTAAAGGCTGGATCTTAGGCTTCGGTCTGGATAACTGTTCTGTAGGAGCAGAAACAACAGTCACATTATTAGAGGAGAGGGCATAGGAAGACATCCCCTGATTCCTGTATTTGAGGCTGTTTCGAGCTCGGATCCGGTTATCCAGCTTAATTGTCAAATGGATGAGTTCCTCGAGAGTAGCAGGTTCATCGAGGGTAGCCAGTTCAACCTTTATATTTTCATTTAATGCCTCAAAATAGGCGCCCTTTAGAGCACTTTGGTTCCATCCGGAAGCTGCAGCCTTAACCCGGAAGTTAATCGAGAACTCCGCCACTGTCGAATCTCCCTGTTTGAGATGAAAAAGAGCACGAGAGTCAAGGGTTTGATCAGTCTCCTGGTTGAAAACTTGAGAAAACTCAAAGACAAAGTCCGAGTATCGACAATTTAAGCTTTCATCAGAAGCAAACCTGGCTTGAGCCCAGGCCAAGGCTCTTCCTGTCAATTGAGATAAAATGAAAGTTATTTTCTTGTAGTCCGTGGGAAAACTGCCAGGAGAGTTCTGAAAAATTAGACGGCATTGAAATAAAAATCCCTTGCAGTCTTTTACATTATCGGAGAATTTCTCAGGTAGACTTGGGCGGAACTCGGATGACGTCACTGCCGGTGACCTCGGAGGTGGAACTGGACCCGGAAATGGTTGAGCTGCTGGCGTGGCATTAGCACTGTTCATATAGTTAGCGTAACTCTGGAGCATATGATTATGAGTCTCAACCAAACGGTACAACTCACGGAGGGTTTGAGTTTGTCCTTGGATTTGGGCATCTTGCTCCTCCAAACGACGGCGGAGGTGACCTGCTGGGCCTTGTGTTTGGCCGCAGTGTTCTGTCATGATGGGTTTACTGAGAGGCCCAAGATGCAGAACACAATGGACTCAGGGGAAAGGTTAACAAGTTTATTGTTACACAAGCACGTAGTAAATGTACAGTTTGCTGGTTCAGGCCTGGGGACTGGTTCACTGGAGTCTGGGAGGGAGACAGTTCAGTTAGCATTGGCTTGGTTGGAATTGATCTTGAGAGTTTCTGGTTTGTACCTTGAGATGCGTAGAAGAGACTTTGGGAGAGGAACTGTTGGGTCCGGAGATGGTTTGGTTCAGCAGAGTCCGATAACTGTTTCAGCGTCTTACTTCTAGTGAGGGTGTTGACCTTGGTTTGAGTTTCCAGCTCTAAATCCAGAGCTGCTTGGAAATCCAGAAGAGAGTCTTCAGGTTTGGCTCAGAGGGCAGGCTCGGCAGGTTAAGCTCTTCCAGAGCTTCACAGGAGAAAAACAGGTAACCTGGAAGCAGAGACAAAAGGTTAGAATCCAAACTGGACTCAGAGATAGCAAAGTTCTCAGGAGGTTCTAGGCTTAGGTGCTAACCAAACTGATTAAACACTGCGGCGTCGAGGCAAGGTCTGAAGACAGCTTAAATACTGTGGTCCTCCTGATGAGATGATCAGTCACAGGTGTGCAGGCAGCTCAGCTCAGGAGGATCCACGGCGGACTGTACTGGAGGAAGGTGGAACTTCTCCAGCTCCCAACAACTAGGTTCTTTTAGGAGCTTCGTCGGCGCTTGACGCCCACAAGCAGTCGCTGGAGGCTGGTTCCCCACTAATTTAGAAAATTATAACAAATTGTCTCTCACCTGTAAGTTGGTGGATTGTGGGCCCTTGGGGGTTCCTGGCCTCCAACTGGTGCCTGCAGGTTGTCCGGCGCCTGGAGCTTCCTCCTGGCTGGCTCGCCAAAATGTCGTGGAAATGTCCTCCCAACGACTTAAAATTTAAGTTAAGTCTTGTAAAAATTCAAAGTTCTTAAAAAGCAGTAGGAAAGTCTTCAAATAATTTCAGTTCAATTCAGTTTATTTATATAGCGCCAAATTCACAACACATGTCATCTCAAGGCACTTTACAGTTCAACCAGATCATACATTCAAATTGATACAAAGTTTTCTATCTAAGGAAAACCAGTTGATTGCATTGACTCATTGACTCAAATACAATCCCTCACACTAAGCATGCTTGTAGCGACAGTGGAGAGGAAAAACTCCCTTTTAACAGGAAGAAACCTCCAGCAGAACCAGGCTCAGTGTGAGCGGCCATCTGCCGAGGCCGACTGGGGTTCAAGGAGACAGAAGCAGAGATACAAAAAGCAGCTGTAAAAGGCGGCCCCGTCCAGGAAACACACAGCCAGGCAGACAAGCTCCAAGGCAGATCCCATGCCAGAGGACGAAGAGAGCACATCCACTCAGTCACAGTCAGAGAAACAGAACCACACTGGAAAACAGGCCGATCTCCAACATCTATAAACAAGGGTGTTGATGGAAGCAGCACAGCTGATGTTTCTTTCCAGGATGACGTCACAGCCAAACAGGAACAGACGAGGCAAAGCTACTCTGAGGAAAAGCAGAGAGAGCAGAAGGTTAGAGATTGAACTAACAGATTCTGCAGAATAGGAGAACAGAGAGAGAATGAAGCAGAATGATGAAATGGGGGTCCCTATGTCCTCCAAAAGTCTAACCCTATAGCAGCATAACTATAGAGATAGATCAGGATAACCTGAGCCACCCTAACTATAAGCTTTATCAAAAAGGAAAGTTTTAAGCCTAGCCTTAAAAGTCGACAGGGTGTCTGCCTCACGGACTAAAACTGGTAGTTGGTTCCACAGGAGAGGAGCCTGATAACTAAAAGATCTGCCTCCCATTCTACTTTTAGAAATTCTAGGAACCACTAGTAAACCTGCAGATTGAGAGCGAAGTGCTCTGTTAGGAACATAAGGAACAATCAGATCTCTGATATAAGATGGAGCTTGGCCATTTAAGGCTTTATATGTGAGAAGGAGGATTTTAAATTCTATTCTTGATTTAACAGGAAGCCAATGAAGAGAAGCCAGGATAGGCGAGATATGATCTCTCTTTTTAATTTTCATTAGAACTCTGGCTGCAGCATTTTGGATCAGCTGAAGGCTTTTAACTACAGTTTGTGGACTTCCTGATAGTAAAGAATTACAATAGTCCAGCCTTGAAGTAACAAATGCATGGACTAGTTTCTCAGCATCACCCCTGGACAGGATATTTCAAATTTTTGCAATGTTCCTCAGATGAAAGAAGGAAATTCTAGAAACCTCTGATATGGAATTTAAATGACAGGTCCTGATCAAAAATAACACCAAGATTTTTTACTTTATTATCTGAAATCAGTTTAATCCCATCCAAATGAAGTGACTGGCTAATCAGTTTCTTTTTCAGAGACTCTGGTCCAAAGACTATAACTTCTGTTTTGTCTGCATTCAGAAGCAGAAAGTTAAGAGTCATCCAGGTTTTTATGTCTTCAAGACATGCCTGTAATCTATGTAATGGGTTAGCTTCATCTGGATTTATAGACAGATATAGCTGGGTATCATCAGCATAACAGTGGAAATTAATCCCATGCTGTCTAATAACTCTACCAATTGGGAGCATGTATAAAGTAAAGAGAATTGGTCCTAGCACTGATCCCTGTGGTACTCCACAGGTAACCTTTGAGCGTGTTGAAGATCTATCATTAACATGAACAAACTGGATTCGATCAGATAGATAAGATTTAAACCAGTCTAGTGCTGTTCCTTTAATTCCAACAAAATATTAAAAACTTTCTAAAAGAATATTATGGTCCACTGTATCAAATGCAGCACTAAGATCCAACAGGATGAGCACAGATACAAGTCCATTATCTGAGGCCATGAGAATATCATTAGTGACTTTCACCAGAGCTGTTTCAGTGCTATGATGAGCTCTAAAGCCAGACTGAAACTCTTCAAAAAGTTCGTTATGGTGTAAGTGATCGCAAACTTGTTTGGCAACTACTTTCTCAAGAATTTTGGATAAGAAAGGAAGATTGGATATAGGTCTATAATTGACCAAGTCATCTGGGTCAAGAGACGGTTTCTTAAGCAGAGGTTTAATTACAGCAACCTTAAAAGCTTTAGGTACATATCCCTGTAACAGAGATAGATTAATCACATCTAAAATGGAGGAGGAGATCAAAGGGAATACCTCCTTAAATAACCTGGTTGGAACTGGATCTAACATACAAGTTGAAGGCTTAGATGAAGACAATAATTTTGCTAATTCAGAAAGTTCAACTGGATCAAAGCAGTCTAAACCCGGTTCAGATTCCATGACTACCTCAGGTACAATCGCGGATAAAGGAGTGCTAATGATCTTATTTTTAATAAGATCAATCTTATTTATAAAGAATCCCATAAAATCATTGCTGCTAAGAGCAGGTAGAATGGACGGTTCAACAGAGCTATGGCTCTGGGTGAGTTTGGCAACTGTATTAAAAAGAAATCTAGGATTATTCTTATTCTCCTCTATTAATGAGGAGAAGTATGCTGCTCTTGCTTTACAAAGGGTCCTCTTATACAGCAGTAAACCATTTTTCCAGACTAGGAAGGACTCCCGCATGCCTGTGGAGTGATATTTTCTCAGTTTCCTAGCATTTTGCTTCAAAGTACGCAGCTCTGCATTAAACCAAGGAGCAAGCTTTCTATTTTTAACGGTTTTCATTTTCAAAGGAGCTGCGTTGTCTAAGGCAATACGCAGAGAACTAGCAACCCCATCAACGAAATCATCAACCAGTGATCAAAAATCAGGCAGAGGCAACTGGGTCCAGGTCCAGAGTGGTTTATTGGAAAATACAAGACAACCACATGAGCTGTTCACCGGTGAGCAACTGACTTACATGCAAAAACAGGCCCTCTTATATTCTCTCCTGGGGCTTGGGGCTCCTCCCCTAAGCTCCTCCTATTTTTGCATAATCTCAGATACGTTTTCCACGGGTAAGTCCAATTATTTTTATCTTACTGGTGGAAAACCCTCCTCAAAACATATTTTTTATATATTTTAACTAAAAGCCTTTGTTACAGATCATGGTGACATCTCTTGCAGGTCATGATGACATATATTGCAATTAAATCAAAAACTCATCATAGTCTTAATCATCAATATGTCAAAACAAAGTTTTTCATCCAGTGTGACTTATGATTATAATATTTCATTAAAAAAGTCAGCATAACCTTGATGCTCAAAATCTCAGTAACACATAATTTTTGTGTTGCTCAGTACTGCACAGTATCGCTTTGGATATGACAACTCAATATATCACAGTTAGTTTAGCTGGGCTGTGCAACCTTGATATGACAAAATAATATATTCTTATTGTGTATGACTTCATCATTAAAAGGCCTCATTACTGCAACTTGGTAGTCTCAAAGTCTTGGACTCAGTCCAATACTTTTGTCTCCCGAGCATTACCTGTCCTTTCCTCTCCTGATCTTCATACCAAACTTCAAAGGGCTCATCTGCAGAAGGCCTTACACACAGCTCTATTTTTATCCATATTGGATCACACACTTTTGGACTCTTTGGCCTTAATAACATAAATGTATTTATTGTAAAACATTTATCCATTATATTCTAATCATTGGTGCAGCATTAATTCACTACAAAGTCAATACCTGGATTTTATTGTAATTTCATTTTCATCGAGTTATGAGAATCAGGATGTAGGTTGTTTGAAATACAAGTCGATATATATATATATATATATATATATATATATATATATATATATATATATATATATATATATATATATATATATATATATATATATATATATATATTCAATTCAAAAATACTTGAACAATCCCAAAGGGAGATTAAAGGTTCCAGTGACTCATTTTTCTAATGCTCACTGTTGTCCATAATTTTCTTCAATTTATGAAAATTATTTTTTGTGAAATAATCTCAAGAGGTTCTAGAGGAGTTTGTAGAACCTACAACAGAGCCTTCTTAATTAGAGTGTTGAGTTTTTTAAGTCATTAGCTCAAATACTGTTACCCCAGTAGAGGATGGAAGAAGAGATCACACTCTCAACAACACACTTACAGAAGATATGTAGTACCTTGCTACAAACGCCAAAGGACCTTAAGCTTCCTTAGGAATTACAATCTGCTCTGTCCCTTCTTGTAGACGGCTTCACAGTTGTGTCTCCAGTCTAGTTTGTTGTCCAAGTGAACACCAAGGTATTTATATTCCTCAACCACCTTCTCTGCTTCTCCTAAGATGTTTTAACTTGTTCCTGTTTCTTCTAAAACCTAAAATCAGCTACCTTGTTATGTTGACATTCAGGATGAGATTGTTTCCACACCATTCCACAAAGCAGTTCCCCAGCTCTCTGTACTCAGCTTCATGTCCATCTTTTATACATCCAATGATTGCAGAGTCTTCTGAGTATTTCTACAAATGGTGATAATGGAATTTGATACCTGCACCTAATAACACTGTCATGGTTTTATCTAAGGCTCGGACCCACATGCAGAGAAACCAATTCAGAGAGACCAGGGGAAAAGGTTTAATAGGTTTTATTAAAGAGATAAAGCATGGTGCAGTGTTGCTCTGAACTCTGCTCAGCCGAAACTGGAGAAGGTGAAGGGAAGACACAGCGATTAGTTCAGGCTCAGTTGGAAATTTCATTCGTGGATTTGGAGAAGAGGATCTGGCTGTTGACTCACTTTTCCAGAGAAGTTGTAGAATCTTTGGCTCCAATCTGTGTGCTGTATTCCAGTGTTAGTCTGATTCGGTGGAGGGCGGAACAGGGTTTACCCAGAACACGGTCGGTTGTAGGTGAAAGGAGAAACTGACTGCTACTCAGATTTCCTGCGGTACTTGAACGGGTCGTAGTGGAGATGGTTCCCTTGCTCAGTGTGTAAACTCAACGTCCTCTCTGGCAAACAGCTCAGTTTGAGGCTCAGTTGATCCTTCCAGGGAGAGAAGTTCCGAAAGATCCTGTTTGCAGGAAGACTTCCTGCCGGGAGGCAAAGACAAAAAACAAAGTTTAAACTTAGGTTGACAAGAACTCAGTCTTACTCAGCAAAAACTCAGCTTGGCTAGAGCCTGTTGAGAACCTGGAGGACAGGATGTGTCTGCAGCACGATAAACCTCTGGAGCTGTTCTGTAGGACCGACCAGACATGTGTCTGTTCGCTCTGTTCTGTTTTGGACCATAAGAACCACGAGTTTGTTCCTCTGAGAGAAGAAACTGAAGGAAAGAAGGCAGAGCTGAGGAAGACAGAGGATGAAGTTCAGAAGATGATCCAGAACAGACGAGTGAAGATTCAGGAGATCAAAGAGTCGGTGAAGATCAGTAAAGATGCTGCAGACAGAGAGAAAGCAGAAGGTGTTGAGGTCTTCACTGCTCTGAAGGAGTCTGCTGAGAGAGGCCTGAAGGAGCTCATCAAGGAGATCGAAGACAAACAGAAAACTGCAGAGAAACAGGCTGAAGACTTCATCAAAGATCTGGAACAGGAAATCTCTGAGCTGATGAAGAGGAGCTCTGAGGTGAAGCAGCTCTCCCAGTCTGAAGACCACCTCCACCTCCTCCAAAGCTTCTCCTCCCTGAAAGCTGCTCCACCCACCAAGAACTGGACAGAGGTCAGAGTCCGTCCACCATCACATGAGGGGACTGTGGTGAGAGCTGTGGCTCAGCTGGAGGAGGAGATCAGGGAGATGATGAAGAAGATGATGAAGAAAAAGATGATTAAGAAGAAGATGATGAAGAAGAAGATGATGAAGGCTGAGATGAAGAGGGTCCAGCAGTCTGCAGTGGATGTGACTCTGGATCCTGATACAGCTCATCCTGAACTCATCCTGTCTCATGATGGAAAACAGGTTTACTGTGGGACTAAAGGACAAAATCTACCAGACAATCCAGAGAGATTTTCTAAACATGTTTCTGTTTTAGGACATCAGAGTTTCTCTTCAGGCAGATTTTACTTTGAGGTTCAGGTTAAAGGAAAGACTAAGTGGGGTTTAGGAGTGGCCAGAGAGTCCATCAACAGGAAGGGAATGATCCCACCAAGTCCTCAGAATGGTTACTGGACTATTTGGTTGAGGAATAGCAATGAGTACATAGCTTGTGCTGATCATCCAGTCCGTCTCCATCTCCATCCTGGTCCTGAGAAGGTGGGGGTGTTTGTGGATTATGAGGAGGGTCTGGTCTCCTTCTATGATGTAGATGCTGCAGCTCTGATCTACTCCTTTACTGGCTGCTGCTTCACTGACAAACTCTACCCATACTTCTGTCCCTGTCTTAATGATGAAGGTAAAAACTCTGCTCCTCTGATCATCTGTCCTGTTAATCAGGCTGATGGTTGATCTGATGAAGCTCCATGAAGAATAAATCTGTTGGTGAAGAACCTCCAACCTGAGTGACTCTGTAGTAAAATCCTAATGTGTCTGATTCCTCTCTGCTATTCATGCATCATCTCCAAGCTCAGCTCCAGACCCTCAGATCTTCCATCCATCCATCACTTCCTTCATGCATCATTTATTGCAGGTGTTTCTGATCAGAGACATTAAACAAAGTCAGATTCAGGAAGTAGCAGCAGCTTCCTGTCCACAGCTCCTCTAGTTTACAGGCCCAGTCTGTGGTTTGGCTTTAAAACTGAAAACTAGAAACAAACAGTTTAAAACTAACAGAGAAAAAGACTGAAGGAAAAACCCAGATAGATAAGACAGCAGATAAACAGCAACGGCTGCAACATGATGTCGTAAAGAGGCCCAGCTGTCATTTTTCAAACTGGGACCATTAAAAGTGGGCTTTGGTTCCAGGTTCTTGACCAGAACCATGGTTTTCCTGCATCATTTTTTTGTTTTCTCCTCTTTACTGGAGCTGAACTCAACTGTTGGTCGGATCATTGACCAGAAGGGAATAAAAGGAGACTCATCTGGGATTGATTGATTGTTTTCCTCTTGATGTTTTTATGTTTCAGTTTGTTACATTTTATTGAAGTTGGTGTTTGATTTGTTTTCATTTGATGCTCAGATTAAAACTGTTTACCTGGAGAAACTGTAAAACCTAATAATGGCGTCTATGTTTGGTTGGGAACGATTAAAATCATTCAGAAAACTCTGTTTTGTTCTCCTTTCTTTTTGATTAGAAGAAAACTGGTCATGAAGCTGCATCATGGTCTGAAAAATGGACCAACTGGATGTAAAAAGACCTCATTGATCTGGAAAAACTGCAGGAGATGTTTTTATGAAACATGTTTTATCTTTAAGTTGGGTTAAAGTTCAGCATCTCGTCTCTCCGTGGATCAAAATGAGCCTTTCCTCTTCTCTGACACATATCTGCACTTCACTGATTTCTACAGAAGGAATCATTTCCTGAACCTCCTGAATTGGACCTCATCTCTCCCACAGAACAGCTCCAATCAGGCCCTAAATGTTCCCAGACACTTGGCAGAGGTCTGCACATTTTAACCAAGAGTGTAAAATCTATCATAGAGGGACTGAATGATTAGATAGAAATATATATTAGAAATAGGCTTGTCCCGATCCGATCCACGTATCGGATCGGGACGCCGATATTGGCAAAAAAATGCGTATCGGCAAAGCATGTAAAATGCCGATCCAGACTGCCGATCCAGTTTTTAAAAAAAAATCCGGTCCGTATTTTCCAGTTTCGCCGATTGAAACGATCCATTCCACTATTTTGCGCCAGTGTTCCCCTGTTTTGCATTTTTATTAAAACTTACAGTAATACTTGCACCTTTAACTGTTTACGGTTTTACTGCTCACTGTGCAATTTCAGATTGCTATTCGTAATTTTGTCCAGTTTGTGTTTATCTCTTAATAAACAGGTAAGTTTGTTGTTACCAAGCATTGTGTTTTATTCAATCTCACCTAATTTAGCTGGCTAGATGTTATCAAGAGTACTAAAACCCTTTTCAACATGAGTCTTACAACTAAGGCTAAATACTTTAACTTAAACTTAAATACATGCTCGGATAGGCTGGTATCGGCCAGTATCGGTATCGGATCGGAAGTCCAAAAACAATTTCGGTATCGGATCAGAAGTGCAAAAACCTGGATCGGGACATCTCTAATTAGAAACCTAAAAACTGTGAGATCTGCACATTTTATCATATTGGCTCCCACTGTTCATTTATAGGATAATAGTTTAAAAATGACAAATAACTCTTTAAATTCAGACATTTTCAGTTAAGAGACGTGGTTAGAGAGTCTTTATTTAGGCTGTTTAGGTGTTTAGTTGATTGAATAATAAAAGGGAAATACTGCTATCACCAATAAAACAAGGGAAAGTGGATGTCAGACCATTGCTGAGAGATTCAACGTATAAATTGTCGCCTTTTTCATCTGTTGGTTCTTCTGCAGTGGATCTCCTACCATTTCCATGGGAGCCACTGGACACTTCACCATCGTCTGCACCATGTGAATGCATCTTTGCATAAATGTTAACTCACTTATGAGATAAATAGGAGACAGGAGACATTACTTTCAAGTTAACCGGTAGCCACACTGCCCGCTCTCTCTGAACACAGAGAACAGGGAGGCTCCTCCTTTATTGCTCTTATAAACACGTAGCCCTCCGCTTTACAAAGTAGTGCCAAACAAAAACATAACCGTGGCAAGCATCGTACTCAACATCATCACACATTATTTCCAGAGATATAACAAAATTGAATATGAGACTTAACCAGTGTGGATTTTGATAACATCTTAACTTAATGAAGAAGATGATGGAGGCGGAGCTGAAGAGGGTCCAACAGTCTGCAGTGGATGTGACTCTGGATCCTGATCCAGCTTGTTGAGATCAAATGTGGGTGATGTAACAGGAATGACTCTCCTCTAAAGTCACACCCCTGCAACGGAGATATAGAAATTCAATTTAATTTAGTTTATTTCTATAGCTCCAATTCACAACACATGTCATCTCAAGGCAGTTTACAGTTCACCAGATCATCCAGTCAGATTGATTCAAAGTTTTCTATCTAAGGAAAACCAGTTGATTGCATCGATTCATTCACCCAAAGGCAATCCCTCACACTAAGCATGCTTGTAGCGACAGTGGAGAAGAAAAACTCCCTTTGAACAGGAAGAAACCTCCAGCAGAACCAGGCTCAGTGTGAGCGGCCATCTGCTGAGGCCGACTGGGGTTCAAGGAGACAGAAAGAAACACACAGCCAGGCAGAGGAGCTCTGAGCCAGCTCCCATGTCAGCGGACGAAGAGAGCACATCCAGTTAGTCACAGTCTGAGAAACAGGACTACACTGAAAAACAGGCTGATCTCCAACATCTATAAACAAAGGTGTTGATGGCAGCAGCACAGCTGATATTTCTCTCCAGAATGGAGTCACAGCCAAAGAGGAACAGACCAGATGAAGTGGGAGAATAGAGATAGAATGAAGCAGAAGGATGAAAATCCAAACATATTTTTGGTTTTCATTTGAGATGGAAAGAAGAAAATGCCTAAGAATAAAATAATAATTTTATAATTAGTTATTGTAAACTCAACTTTTGGGCCATTATCAATACTTTTGACTCTACTCATGGTGAGACAAAATGCCCAAAGGGTTACACAAGTAAAAAAGGTTGGCAAACACTGGCACCTGGCAGATGCACACAGTCAACTAACCCTAGCCTGAATTTACTTCACCTGCAGCTGTAATCAATAAATTAGATGGAACCACAGACTTAGTTTGATAGCTTATTGGATAAAACACATAGGGGAACATGTTATGTTTCCTGCACATCTTTGGATCTGGTCTGGGGTCCGGATATGCAGACTATCTGCAACAGACTGTGGACTGCTTCTGGGGATGTTAGAACCATTTTGTTTTTTTTTTACTGTTCTACTGAGGCACCTTTTTATGGAGAACATTTTCAACAGACTGTTCCAGGACACTTTCTATAGATGAGATGGAGTCAAATTCAGCTGTTTCAGAATCTGTGACCTGCCGGGTTTTGGGAATGCAGAAACCAGTCAGAGTACAACCCTGTGCTCTGAACAGATGAACATTTAAATATGACATTCTGCCTGAAGGGAGGATCACCTTCTTCAACGCTCTGCTTCATTCAGCCTCTGTGTTATGTTGGTGAGGACACAGGTAAAGTCTTATCCTTCAGGGGGTGGGGGAACACCTGGGCCCCATGACTCCTATGGTTCAAAGCTGTTGTGGTAACAGAGGGTAACCTGATAGACGTGTCCTAACATGGAACTGTTTTTGTATGTTGGAAAGGATCAATGCTCCAAGAGCAGAGAAAATCCTAGAGAAAATGTTAAAGGCCTCCTGCTCCATTTCTGAGAAGAAATCACTCCTGACAAACTCTTGAAATAACTCTTCATAATGTCAATGTATTGAATAACTATGAGACATGACAAAAGATTTAGAAAGAAATTATAATCTTACTCAGATCAGAGAAGTTGCTTTGGGTTACAGAAGGCAGCTACTTACCATCCCAGCTCACTTCTCATGTAGTGGCCTGGAATCACAGTTGAAGAAGCATTTTATACAACTCCAGTCTACTGCATCATCACGTCATGACATTATACACGTTTTAGCAGATAAGGAGGCATCTACAGTAGTAGCCATTCAAATTTTCCCCACTTTCCTTGGCTGATCCCCTAAAATTCCTTTTTAAACATCAATTTTTGTTCTAAAATATTCTTTCTGTCATGATTTGTGGACATTAAGATCTACAGAGAAGCGTCGTCTCCTGGTCAGGCCCTGTAATTCAGTGAGAGGGTGGAGTCAGAGTAAAGTAACTATGCCAGAGGGGGTCACTCCAGTGGTTGGGAGATGGAGGGCACTAGGCTGCCATTTGGCTGGTGTTTGAATGGTAAGGGCCATTTTTGGAAGGCTGCTCCTGTAAGGCTGCAGCCTTATCAAAATACACAGGACCCGTGTTATTTGATGTCTCTGACTAAAGGAAAATAGTGATGCAGAAAACTCTTCCTGTTTTACTAACAGGAAGGAAGGTGGAGCATCGCTAGAAAGACTGGTTTGAGCGTCATTTTTTAGAATTGCAGTGCTGACTATTTTCTATCGGTCTGAAGTCCCTTTTTCCTCCCCAACAACTGACTCAAATAGAGGTGAGTAAAGCTGATTATAGCCACTGTTTCTCCAACAGCAAATTAAACTTAGATTTGCTGTATTGATCAAAACATTTCTAAATTATTTGTCAGTGTCTTGTGTTGATATGCCTTCTGTTTGCCTTAGTTCTACAGTTACTGTTACTACACCTATGCCTGTATTGAAATCATTTATTGTGCTACAGTAACTTTTTAGTGAATATTTTATGGGACTTTTCTGAGTATTTTGCATTTTACAATAGCTTAGCAGTGTATGTGCTCTTTCATTATATTTAAAAGACTGAATTGTATTATAAGTTTTAAATAAGTAGCAAAGAGGGGAATGTTGCGTTTTTCCATGATCATTTGATTTTTACTAAATATTGTTTAAAACATGAATATGAAATGAAGCTATTGTAAAAGTTAATTATATAATTTTATTAAAGATAAAAAAAATCTCTCTTTAGAAGACTGTAAAGTCTTTTTTAGCCTTAGCAAATGACAGGAAGACTCCTCCCAGTTAAAAATCTAGAGAAAGACACACCTAGTCACGGTTATCCCATTAAATGCTTCTGAGTGGATAAAAAGCTAATAATCATGTATCAGAGTAAATCCCAGAGTGAGAAGCTGCCAGTTAGATCTCTGCTGTCCAGCTTCATGGGGACAATTCTCTCTATTTGAATCATTTCCATCCATCTGCGCTGCACATGGACGGACATCTAGTTGACATAACTTTTAGGAATGTTTAACAAGCAAAATACATGTACAACATGAAAGAAGTAATAAAAAAATAAAAAAAATCCTTGTAACATTTTGAGGAGGGAACGTTGTGGCAAATGTAAAAAAAACAGAAAAACAAAATACAACATACTAAATATGAAACTGAACTGGAGATGAGCCCAATAAGGATGGTGTAATTCGCAAACTGTCATCCGTCACGTGAGGAGCAGCTGCTGGTTTACAGGTAGAAGAGCAGAGGGGAAAGAACAGCTTTGTGAGTAACCAGCATTCATGGCCCTAGAATGACTGACATGTTTTTATAGCCTCATATGCTGCTCCCTGTCAGGGGACATTCCAGGGTAGTCTGGGTGTTACGTTATGTTGTGAAGAGCAATTTGTTTTCATCATCCACCAAACTCTAGGCTCCCTGTAAGGAATCCAGAAATGAGCCTGTAATGGACTTAAGGGGGTTAAAACAAGAAGCATAAAGACTTGATTACCACAATCGTCTGTGCAGCAGGTCTGAAGACTGAGGCAGCTGATCAGCACAGTGTTTCAGTGCTGTTTATCTGACCCAACTGCTTTTAGGGGATTCTGCCTCCTAAATAGTCCTTTGACTTCATTCTCTAAAGCACAGAGGGGAGGGGGTGAAGTGAGTGGGGCTTCCCAACTCTGAGGAGAGGGCGGAGCTAATAGTGGACTTGTGCTGAGGCTTTGTAGAGGAGTCATAGGGAAGGTGGTAGAACTGGTTCACCTCATTTACAAGGCAAGGAAAGGCTGACAAGATCCTTTTAGACACAGAGGAGAAATGAACAAACACATCATTAAATCATTCCGAGCATGTCGTTACTAAAACTAGAAGTTTAAGTTACCCAAAGAAAAGCCACAGGAAACATAACACTACATTTTAAACAGGCGGAAACATTGTAATTCCATATCTGTCAGGAATTTCTGAAAACTCTGGAGGATTTTCTCTAACCATGACATATCAGTGCAGTGAGGAACGCTCGAGCTCCTACTTCAGGAAGATAAACGATGACTATACAAACACATGGCAAAGTACAGGAGAGCTAGCAGCTCTAAGGAAAGAACCTCAGGATCAAAGGACACACCTTTGACAGCCAAAATGTTTGAAGCCTGGACACAGAAGACCGATGGTTTGAAAGAAGGGTGAAGGAAGTCATCTTTAATGGAAGAGAAAGTCATCACTAAACAGGGAGAGTGATTGAATTTACACAAGATAATCCCCATTATGATTCATAGCCAATATCCAAACACGACACCCAATAAGCTCCAATTATCTGGCAGGATGAAAGTAGAAACCTGCCTTAGAATGTGCTTATAAGGATGGGCGTCCAGATACTCAATAACTGACAAGCATCCTTGACAAATGTCAAAATATATTTTTTAAACCAGGAAAAGGTCCAGGTGCCTCCAATTTGAGAATGTTTTGCAGGTTCGTTCTGCAGTGGATATCTGATAAAATGTTGAATGGCAATAAAGATAATCTGAAACCAGATCCAAACTGATGTGTTTATTGTGGAGGAGAGAAATCATCTCTGTCACTGCCTCAGTCATTTCTCTGGACCTATTCTTATTATGTTTGTGGTGTTTCAGTGAGGCTTTTATCATTGATGACAAAAATTAATCAAAAATAAAGTGAATTTAAAAAACATATCACAGTGAAGCAAACAGAAAAAGGTTGAATAAACCTTGATTCTAAATGAAGTCTGACCTGTTTGAAAACAATCAACAGCCCCTCTCACCCAGACACGCTCTAGCCCTGCAGGTGTGCGAAGACATGAGCGAATACCTTTATAAAGTATGTAAATCAAAACAAGCCCTCCTAAATCACTATTAGAGTCAAAATGAAAAGGCAGGGAATGTCAGGCTCAATAGGACCCAGTATTCGAGGCTGAGGCAGTTACATTTCTCAAATCATTTATTAAAAACTGAACTGCTTTGAACAGCATTGGCGTCTAAAGCAGGGCATACACTGTGTGATTTTTTCAATCGTTGAAAGCAGCTGCAGCTAACAATGTAAGACGAAACCTGTGGTTTCGTCTTACATTGTGAGTTCACAGGTCACAATGCATGCACATTGCACAATTTTTGTATACTGAGAGCCCTGAAAAGAAAAGACGACAGCTTATTTGGACAAAGACATGGCCGAGCAAACATGGCTTCTACAGTTTATCAATTTTACACAAATAACTCCATTTGACTGGCACCCCAGCCATGCTTCTGTGTTTTCGTCTGAGAGGAAGAAGAAGAATTCGAGTTTGTGCATGCCCACTGGGGGATTTTTGCCCACGACAGTCGACTGAAAATCAAACATGTTTGATTTTCTCCTGACCTCACGATTCCTGATCAGGAGGTGGTCGTTGTTAGAGTTCTGCCTCTGTTATGTTTTTTTTTTTTGGATGTTCAGTTTTGCTTTGCTCCTCATTTTCTAGTTTTTTATGGTTTAATTCTTATTTTGTTTTCTTCTTTGGTTTTTTCTCAATTACTGTCTTAGTCCTGCTTCTGTTATGTTTCCTTTTGACTGTTCAGTTTTGCTTTACTCCTTGTTTTTATAGTTTTAGTGTTGTAATTCTTACTTTGTTGTGTTTTCTGGTCTTTTTCAGTTTTCTAGGTTTTTTTATTTGTTGCCCTCTGCTAGCCTCTTGTGTTCTCCTTTTTCTGCTCTTTTTCTATCCTGCTCTGTGCACACCTGCTCCCAGTCTGCTCATTAGCCCACTCTTTGTTTCAGTCTCCTTTATATACTCTCTCTGTTCTGTTCTTCTTTGCTGGGTCATCATCAAACATGCTCCAACTCCTTCTCTCTGAGCCTTCCTTCTTTTGATTGTGATTTGATTCTGATGTCTCCTTGGTTTCTGGTACGTTTTGACTAGTTTTCATGTTTTGATTTTTGAACTCCTGGTTTCACGTCAGTTTGGACTTTGTTTTCATTTTGAATTTTTGGATTCCTGGTTTCCTGTTTATTTGAACTCTGTTTTCGTATCTGGATTTTTGGATTACCTGCCTCTGTTTTCAGTAAACTCATTATAAAATCCACAAGAAATTCATCTCTGCCTCCCTGCCTCTGCTTTTGGGTCAACTAACCATAACCAAATTGTGACAGTCGTAAGAGTCTGATCGCCCCTCGTTACCCCCTAAACACTGCATTTGGCATGATCAGGCTCAAAGTCGGCCCAATCGAAAATTTTTTGCATGACTGGAAAGTCGGTCCAAAAAGGGCAAAAAAATCGGAGAACGGCTTAAGGCAGGAACCTCTGCAGGAGGAAACAACAGGTTAGTGACCACGTCTTTCTGGCGGAGGATGATAATGAACATGTGAGTCACTAACCTATTCTTATAGTTCAGTCTGAGCCCAGAGGATGAGGTTGGTTCCAGCCGGTTGGCTGCCAGCAAGATGCGCCCAGAGTCCCAGACAATGGTGTCTCTGACGTCGGAGGATAGGCAGGATCAAAACCATGCAGGTAAAGAAAGGCAGGATAATCCAGACAATGAAGCCAAAGTCTGTGTCAAATATGTGCTCTTTAGTCAGAGCCAGGAGATCAGAGGTTCAAAGAGGTGCCGAAGGGAGTCAGGTTCGGGTTCAGGTTCACAAATCCGAGAGGAGTCTGAAAACAGGTCAAGCCACAGATTAGAACGGGGACAGGCAGGCTCGGAAGTCCAGAGGCAGAATGGGTCAGGAACAGGGCAATCAGAAAACACAGGAACACTAGATAACTCTCGCCACAGGGTGATCAGATTTTCTTCTCCTTTGGTCAGCTGACTGAACTCACATCATGAAGCCTGATCAGAATATCATGTCACACCTTCAGATCAGGGACATCTTCCTAATCATTGATCTCTGTTTCCTGTTCTTAGTGTGCAGGTATGACTTCTGAAAGCAACCTACGGTCTGAGGACCTGTTCCTGTGCTCCATCTGTCTGAATACTTTAACTGATCCAATCACAACACCATGTGGACACAACTTCTGCAAAGCCTGCATCACTCAGCACTGGGATGGAAATGTTCTCTACAATTGCCCTTTGTGTAAAGAACATTTCAACTCTAGACCTCAGCTGAAGGTCAACACCTTGTTGTCTGAGATGGTTGCTAAGTTCAGACGTGAGGCTCAGCAGGAAGCCATTAGCAGCAGCAGCTCAGAGCAACAAGCTGCCAAACCAGGAGAAGTTCCCTGTGACGTCTGCACTGGAACCAAACTGAAGGCCCTGAAGTCCTGCCTGGTGTGTCTCCTCTCCTACTGTCAGACTCACCTGGAGCCTCATCTGACAGCTCCACGTCTGAAGAAACATCAGCTGATGGAGCCTGTGGAGAACCTGGAGGACAGAATGTGTCCACAACATGATAAACCTCTGGAGCTGTTCTGTAGGACCGACCAGACATGTGTCTGTTTGATATGTCCTGTTTCAGACCATAAGAACCATGAGCTTGTTCCTCTGAGAGAGGAATCCAAAAGAAAGAACACAGAACTGAGGAAGATAGAAGTTGAAGTTCAGAGGATGATCCAGAACAGACGAGTGAAGATTCAGGAGATAAAAAGGTCGATGAAGATCAGTAAAGATGCTGCAGACAGAGAGAAAGCAGAAGGTGTTGAGGTCTTCACTGCTCTGAAGGAGTCTGCTGAGAGAGGCCTGAAGGAGCTCATCAAGGAGATCGAAGACAAACAGAAAACTGCAGAGAAACAGGCTGAAGACTTCATCAAAGATCTGGAACAGGAAATCTCTGAGCTGATGAAGAGGAGCTCTGAGGTAAAGCAGCTCACCCAGTGTGAAGACCACCTCCACCTCCTCCAAAACTTCTCCTCCCTGAAAGCTGCTCCACCCACCAAGAACTGGACAGAGGTCAGAGTCCGTCCACCATCATATGAGGGGACTGTGGTGAGAGCTGTGGCTCTGCTGGAGGAGAAGATCAGGGAGGACATGAAGAAGATGAGGCAGGCTGAGATGAAGAGGGTCCAGCAGTCTGCAGTGGATGTGACTCTGGATCCTGATACAGCTCATCCTGAACTAATCTTGTCTGACGATGGAAAACAGGTGAAACATAGTGAATTAAGGAAGAAATTACCAGACAACCCAAAGAGATTTTCTTATAATGGTTGCATTTTAGGACATCAGGGTTTCTCTTCAGGCAGATTTTACTTTGAGGTTCAGGTTAAAGGAAAGACTGACTGGGATTTAGGAGTGGCCAGAGAGTCCATCGACAGGAAGGGAAAGATCATAGAAAGTCCTCAGAATGGTTACTGGACTATTTGGTTGAGAAACAGAAGTGAGTACAAAGCTGGTGCTGTTCCCCCAGTCCGTCTCCATCTCCATCCTGGTCCTGAGAAGGTGGGGGTGTTTGTGGATTATGAGGAGGGTCTGGTCTCCTTCTATGATGTAGATGCTGCAGCTCTGATCTACTCCTTTACTGGCTTTCTCTTTAAAGAGAAACTCTACCCATACTTCTGTCCCTGTCCTAATTATGGAGGTAAAAACTCTGCTCCTCTGATCATCTATCCGGTTCATCGGGCTGATTGATCTGAGGAAGCTTGATGAAGAATGGTAAAGATCCTTCAATCTAAGTGGGTTTGAAGGTGAATTCCTGCTGATGGAGAGGTGAGCTTAGAAACATCCTTAGGAGGTCAACAGTTAAGGTAAAGACGGATCATTAACACTAGCTCCTCCTGCCTATCTTATGCAGGACTGGTTCATTTTCCATGAAATTTAAAGGCCTGCATGCAAACATTTCCACCTGTGTAACTGATCATATTTACCTTATGGGCAATATAATAATGCCTATTTCTTTACATTTACTTCTGGTTCATGGTGGTTAATGCTGTTTTTCCTTAACTTTTAAACAGAAATGTAAATGTAATGTAATGATATTTGAATAGAATTGTAAAACTGTGGCACTAGTTTCATTTATTTTTAATGTTATAGATCTATTTTTAAATGTCATTTTGTAAAAGCTAAAACGAAATGAATCTCTAAACATAAAAAAGAAAATACCTGTTGTTCTTTTTTGTCTAGTGAATTTTTTTTTTTTTTTACATAATGTAGTAATGATGGAGGAATAAGCCCTTCAGGGCCAATCATGTCAGGAGCTCAGAATTCAAGCAGAGAGTTCAGGGTGAACTTAAAACAAGCATGTATTAAATCATGAACTTGAGGCTGCTTTACTGAACACTCTGTAAAGCCGGAGCTCAGGTCAGTGACTTCAGAACTCAGACCGGAAATGATAATGAGCTTAAGAGTTACCGACTTGGTAAAGTTCAGTCTGAGCACAAAAAAAGGACTGAAGTGGTTACTCAATAGTTTGTGATGGAGCTGCCTCCAGAAATCCAGGAGAGAAGTGGAGCAATGATAAGCAGAAGCAAGAGCATGCAAAGGAGCAGACAAATCCAGAGAGATAATCCATGCCGGGGTCAGAAAACAGTCCAAGGTCGTTAACAGGCAGAAACAGAAACAGATCAGGGATACAGAGCAGAACAGGGGTGACCAAAACTCAGAAGTCCTGGGGAAGAAGCAGGTGAGGATCAGGCAGGCAAAACACAACAGGGTAAGCTAGATAACTCTCATACTAGGCTTGAATTATCTGCCACCAATAGCTGGGAACAGGCAGCTTAAATACAAGCAGAAACATGTGGATCTGTTTAAAGACAATGAGTGCTGGGCGGAGCAAAGCAGAAGTGAGAAAAGAGCCAAATCCAGCCATAGGTGTTAAGATCATGACATATCAAATAAATGAAAAAGATCATATCTTTAATCAAAGTGTATGCAATATTTAGAGGATTTCTCACCATTGCTTTTCACATTCCCCTTCATCAAAAGGGTGGGTCATATTACAGATCAAAACTTCAATTTAAAAAGGTGTGAGGCATTCGCGTGGATGCAGTAAACAGTTTTATAGTCCTGTGAGATCCATGAAAAGGGCTGTCTAATGGGAAGCAATCAATGCTGCACTGCTGGAATACTTTGGAAGAATTAGGAGGGAGTGCATTCTCACGGTATAGCAAGATATCCTGACCCATGATAATTACTGGCGTATCAGCTGATCACACTCTCTAGAGCAGTGGTAGGTAATGTTAGTCCTTGTCTACCACTGTCCTGTAGCTTTTACTTGTTTCCTTGAATAAACATATTGTAACCCCTCCTTTATTACTATTATTAGTAATACAAATATGTAGTACCTATAACCCAGAAGGAGAATCCAGTCTAGGTTCAGTGAGGAGGCTGTTGGTTTTTCCACCTATACAAAGGTTCAGATATCCACCCCAAATAACACACTGGACAACAGATTAGCGGAAATGAATAAGGTGTATTGAATTTAGTCACATGTAAACAGTTGACTCAACATCAGAAAAATAAAAGTCCATCAAGTCCTTCCTTCTCATATACAACAGTTAGAACCACTGAAGGACTTGGAAAAAAACACTCTGAGATCTCAGGCATAAAAAGTTCAATGTCCAAAAATAAAATAAAAATACTGAGTGCACTCAGTCCTACCACCCTCTCAATAAGTGTCCATGAATGGAAAATGGTCCAGAACAGGCAATACGAAGGGAGACGGTGCAGCCCAGTAGAAGATCCAGCCACAGTGGGAACCAATGAAGCAGGTGGCAGCAGCAAAGTCGGTCCAAACCAGCCTGCACAGATGTGCAGGAAAATTACTCTCCAACTCTACACACATTTGCATTTATTACATCATTGTTAATGAATAATTTCACAGGTACCCTTTTACTGCACCCAACTCATAGGAACCTCACTTACTCAAGCAATAACCACATATCAAAAACATTTTCCCCTCAGTATAACAATAAAGCCCCTCCTTGAACTGCCACCTTAACGTGGTGGAGGGGTTTTCAGTGCCTGGGTGATCCCAGAGGCTATGTTGTTGGGGGCTAAATGCCCCTGGTAGGGTCTCCCAAGGCAAACAGGCTCTGGGTGACAGGTCAGACGAAGAGCGGTTCAGAAACCCTTATGATGAGCACTACAACGAGGCAAGTGACGTCGCCCGGTACGGCGGAGCCGGGACCCCACCCTGGAGCCAGGCCTGGGGTTGGGATTCGTTGGCGAGTGCCTGGTGGTCGGGTTCTTCCTCACAGGACCCGGCCAGGCCCAGCCCGAAGGAGCGACACGAGGCAATCCCCCAGTGGGCCCACCACCTGCAGGGGGAACCATGAGGGACCGGTGCAAAGTGGATTGGGCGGCAGCCAGAGGCGGAGACCTCGGCGACCTGATCCGCGGGCGCTTAGACTGGCTCTGGGGACGTGGAATGTCACCTCACTGGCGGGGAAGGAGCCCGTACTTGTGCAGGAGGTGGAGCGATACCAGCTAGAAATAGTTGGGCTCACCTCTACGCACAGCCAGGGCTCTGGAACCAAGCTCCTTGAGGGAGACTGGACTCTCTTCTACTCTTGAGTGACCCGCGGGGAGAGGCAGAGGGCGGGGGTGGGGCTGCTTGTCTCCCCCCAGCTCAGCCGTCTCGTGTTGGAGTTCACCCCTGTAGACGAGAGGGTCGCATCCCTTCGCCTTCGGGTTGAAGGGAGGACTCTGACAGTTGTTTCGGCCTATGGGCCGAATGGCAGTACGGAGTACCAGGCCTTCTTAGCATCCCTGGGGAGGGTGTTAGAAAGCACCCCTCCCAGGGATTCCATCATTCTACTGGGAGACTTCAACACCCACGTGGGAAACGACAGTGACACCTGGAGGGGCGTGATTGGGAGGAACGGGCCCCCAGCTCTGAACCCGAGTGGTGTCTCATTATTGGACTTCTGTGCAAGTCACGGATTGTCCATAATGAACACCATGTTCATGCATAAGGATGTCCATCGGTGCACTTGGCACCAGGACACCCTAGGCCAAAGGTCAATGATCGACTTTGTAGTCGTATCTTTTGATCTTCGGCCGCATGTCCTGGACACTCGGGTGAAGAGGGGGGCAGAGCTGTCCACCAACCACCACCTGGTGGTGAGCTGGATACGCTGGAAGAGGAGGAAGCCTGAAAGACTCGGCAGGCCCAAATGTGTAGTGAGAGTCTGCTGGGAACGTCTGGTGGAACCCTCGGTCAGGGACGTGTTCAACTCCCACCTCCGGGAGAGCTTCTCTCAGGTTCCGGGGGAGGTTGGAGACATGGAATTCAATTGGGCTGTGTTTTCTGCCTCTATTGTAGACGTGTCTGCCCGTAGCTGTGGCAGTAAGGTTTGCGATGCCTGTCGTGGTGGCAATCCCCAAACCCGGTGGTGGACAACGATAGTAAGGGATGCTGTCAAGCTGAAGAAGGAGTCCTATCGAGCTTGGCTGGCTTGTGGGATTCCTGAAGCACCAAGCAGGTACCGTGAGGCCAAGCGTGTCACGGCCCGGGCGGTTGCAGAGGCAAAATCTCGGGCCTGGGACGAGTTCAGAGAGGCCATGGAAAAAGTCTATCGGTTGGCCTCAAAGCGATTCTGGCAAACCATCCGGTGCCTCCGGAGGGGAAAGCAGTGCTTCGCTAACACTATTTTCAGTGGGAGTGGGGAGCTGCTGACCTTGAAGGAGGATATTGTTGGGCGGTGGAAGGAATACTTTGAGGATCTCCTCAACCCAACGGACACGCCTTCCGTGGGGGAAGAAGAGACGGGGTGCTTGGGGCTGGATTCGTTCATCACCCAGGCCGAAGTCACCGAGGTGGTCAAAAAACTCCACGGTGGCAAGGCTTCGGGGGTGGACGAGATCCGTCCTGAGTATCTTAGAGCTCTGGATGTTGTCGGGCTGTCATGGTTGACACGTCTCTTCAACATTGTGTGGAGGTCGGGGACAGTTCTCCTGGATTGGCAGACTGGGGTGGTGGTTCCCCTCCACAAGAAGGGGGACCGGAGGGTGTGTTCCAACTATCGGGGAATCACACCTCTAAGCCTCCCCAGAAAGGCCTATGCCAGGGTGCTAGAGAGGAGAGTCCGGCTGATTGTCGAACCTCGGCTGTAGGAGGAGAAGTGTGGTTTTCGTCCTGGCTGTGGAACAGTGGACCAGCTCTACACCCTCTGCAGGGTGCTTGAGGGTTCATGGGAGTTTGCCCAACCAGTCTTCATGTGTTTTGTGGACTTGGAGAAGGCATTCGACCGTGTCCCTCGTGCTGCCCTGTGGGGGGTGCTCCAGGAGTATGGAGTCGGGGGCCCTTTATTAGGGGCCATCCGTTCTCTGTACAAGCGGAGCAGGAGTCTGGTTTGCATTGCCGGCACTAAGTCGGACCTGTTCCCAGTGCATGTTGGACTCCGACAGGGCTGCCCTCTGTCACCGGTCCTGTTCATAACTTTTATGGACAGGATTTCTAGATGCAGTCAAGGACCGGAGGGGGTCTGGTTTGGGGAACAGCTGATCTCGTCCCTGCTTTTTGCAGATGACGTAGTTCTGCTGGCTCCCTCCTGCCAAGACCTACAGCGTGCGCTGGGGCAGTTCGCAGCCGGGTGTGAAGCGGTCGAGATGAGAATCAGCTCCTCCAAGTCCGAGGCCATGGTTCTCGACCGGGAAAGGTGGCTTGTCCCCTTCAGGTTGGAGGAGAGTCCCTGCCTCAATTGGAGGAGTTCAAGTATCTTGGGGTCCTGTTCAGGAGTGAGGGAAGAATGGAGCGGGAGATCGATAGACGGATCGGTGCGGCTGCTGCAATAATGCGGACGCTGCACTGGTCTGTCGCGGTGAAGAGAGAGCTGAGCGGAAAGGCAAAGCTCTCAATTTACCGGTCGGTCTACGTTCCTACCCTCACCTATGGTCATGAAATTTGGATCATGACCGAAAGAACGAGATCCCGGATACAAGCGGCTGAAATGAGCTTTCTCCGCAGGGTGGCTGGGCTCTCCCTTAGAGATAGGGTGAGGAGCTCGGTCATTCGGGAGAGGCTCAGTGTAGAGCCAGTTCTCCTGAA